GCAAGTTATATTTTTTTTGCATAATGACCAGTGCACCAACTTTGCCACTCTCTCATGTCTAACTTGTAATCTGTGCAATCTTGGACATCCACAGATGAGGTGTGACACAATCATCTTTTTCTTAGCACAGTCAACATTTGCTGTTAGCACTGATTCCTTGGATCTTAGCTTTCATCACATTGGTTTGGAGTGGTTGTTCTTGTGCAGCAAAAATCAAATCTTCAGTTTCTTTCTTAAGGGTCCCCAGTTTTAGCCATGCCCATGTTCAATTATGATCATGCTTTCTATCAATATTTTGCAGGTGGTGTAATTTATTTTTTCCAGCTGCTTAATTTGTTTTCAAATTGTTGTTTCTTATATTGAGCTGTTGTTTCTGTTGTTTTCAAAATATTCTCCATTTTCACTGCTTTCAGTAATTTTTCTCTGCTTGTACTGAAATAATGGTTTAGGCTTCTTTTTTCCTCCTCTACTGCCTGCTCTATTTGCAGTAATCCATGGCCTCTGATTTTTCATGGTAAATATAATCTGTCCACATTGCTTTTTGGATGTAATGTGTGATGGATATTCATTAGTTTCCATGTTTTTTGATCCAATTTTTCTAATTCATATTGAGTCCAATCTATTATTCCAGCTGGGTATCTAATTACTGGAATGGCCCATGTGTTTATGGCTTTGATTGTATTTCCCCCATTTAATTTTTATTTTAAAATTTTCTGCAGTCTTTTGATATATTCTCTTTCTGTCAGTTATATGTTGCTTGACAGAGTTGCAATCCAATGACATCTGGAAGACTATAGGTCACCTACCTCCTATTTTAGGTCATTTGTTGTTACGTGCCATTAAGTCACTTCTGACCTCTGACCCTATGAATGAGGGATCGCACTACAACATTAAGTCTGTAATTTTTTTGTCCACTCATTGGGAAATAAGGCCTACTGAAGATAGTGGAGCTCATAGGTTAACACACAGTGGATGTTAGACCTGATCTATGCAGGTGACATGAGGTCTACTAAAGAATATGGTAGGATTCGGAAAGGTTAGACTGAACTGGCTGACTACTGTGTGAACAAAATTATTTTTACATTTTTGGACTCCAGCTCACAAAATCACCAAGCCCAAGGACCCAGTGGCCACATTGTCTGAGAGATTCCAAGCCCTGAGAATTCCAAGAAAGGTAACATCAGAGTAGACCTTTGGTCTAGATGGGCGGGATAGAAATCCAATAAATAAATAAATATCCAAGGTCTTTGCAATTACTGCAATTACTGCTGAGTTCTGATGTTTTAGACGCATTGAAAGATTATGGATTCAAGCAAAACCCTTGTCCCATGTCTTGTAAAGAGCCAGCCTGGGAAGGAATTAGACTGGAAGGGCAAAGCTAGACTAATCCTGAAAATAAATCAGGGCTTCCTCAAGTGGTGAAAACCGTCTGTTTGGAGAAGCACGTTAAAGACAGAAGCATGATTGATTATTGGAACACAAATGCCGGTTTCCTTCGCGGGTCTGATTGCTAAGAAGGACAATTGTGCCACAGGATGGAAAATACTATGAGAGTGTTGTTTTCCGCGGTTTCCTTCGCGGGTCCGATTGCTAATATATGCACAAGAAGGACAATTGTGCCACAGAATGGAAAATACTATGAGAGTGTTGTTTTCCATGTATGTTTCAGGACTAGGAATTGGGAGATCCAGGTTTGAATTGTCAGTGTGCCACAAAGCGATCTTAGTTCTGATGGTTGTTGTGGGGTTTTCGGGCTCTTCGGCTGTGTTCTGAAGGTTGTTCTTCTTGATGTTTCGCCAGTCTCTGTGGCCGGCATCTTCAGAGGAACAGGAGTAGGAACTCTGTCCGTGCTCCGTTGCTGTTTGTTGGGTGGTTGAGTATTTATAGCTGTGGGAACAGCTTTTGTTCTTTTCAGGAGATGATGGTGGATGTATTATTGTGATGGGGGGGAGAGATTATCTGTCACTGTAATTGATGGGTGTCTTTAGCTGGTCTTTTGTGTGCAATGATCCCTGGTCCTTGTGGCTGGGTAGAGTTTGTTGACCTTTTGCAGGCTGTATTTTCCAGTGCTGGGAGCCAGGCAGCACTAAAAGTTTTAGACTTTCCTCTTTTTTGTTGAAGCTCTGCTGGTGTTTATGGATTACAATGGCTTCCCTGTGATCTTAGTTCTCTTAACATGACTTCAGAGGGCTGTTATAGCAAAGGGCAAGAGCCCTGGAAGTTGCCGGTGAAGTCACAGAAGGAAAAGTAGGATGATATAATAAATTGTGCTGTGCATATTCTGAATATAGGCTTCTTGACACCATGTTATCATGACAGATGGGTGCAAATTATAGCTTGGATCCTTATAGCTAGGGTGGATTTTTCCATTATTCAGCAAAGGATATTTTACACCAAAGAAAAGTTAGAAGAGAAGATGGGTAAGATATACTCTTTTTAGACTCCAGCATCAGAGAGCAGGGGAACAACTTAACAAACCTTTTGATCCATGGGGAAACGATCCCAGAACTTCCTTCGTAGGTTGGCTTGGGGTGCAGAAGAGTCATTAAGGGGGATTAGTGGTATAATTGAGTTTGTAGCTTGAACTTAATCTTCTAAGTAGCATTAAGACCAAATAGGTATTCCTTTTCCATTGCCCTTGATTCTTAATATTTCTCACTTGCCTCCCCAGCTGTCCATTATTATTTCTTCCCTCTGTCCTATTTTTTCCCTGCTTTAAATATGATTGAACATTTTGCAGAGATAAGACTTTTTACCCAATTATCTTAACCTGAAGCTATTATTTTCAGGGAGAGCTCATATTACTACAATGAAGTCATGTAATTTAGCATTAAAAAAAACTGCACAGGATGATCTGATCACAAGGCTGTTTTTTTTTCTTTTTTTCTTTTCATCTTCCAGTTGCGAATCTCTTTTCATCTCTTCTTATTTTCTGAATCAGGACCTGAACTGGAAAGGTCAGAGCTTAAGAGCGAGGACTCCTTCTGTAATTAAAACAAAAAGTGGGGGAGAGCTATGGTGACCTAGGGTCTCTGGGGATATAACGTCAAAAAAGTAACACATCCAAGCTTTCAAAGTATGCATCAGGACTGGGCTATAGATGGGCACCAACCAAATTACAAATTGGGGAAAACCCCCAACCAGACTGATTTGTGGTTCGGTTTGTGGTTCCGTTCGTGCAACCTGTTTTGCCAAAATGAAATGAAGTGCCAAACTTTTTCCTTCTCAGCGCATTGTTTTTGCTTCGGCAAAATGGATGCCCGCCCACCCCGTTCCTCCTGCCTCATTACCTCTCAACCTGGTCTTGCCTCCTCTTGTTCCTCCTCCACCACCAACATCTTCAGAGGCACTGGCTTGGCTTTCCTTCCAGAAGCCAGGCCTGCTGTCTCTGCGCATGTGCTGGCCTATCAGCTGATCAGGGTGCTCAGCTTGGAGGGGTAGGGCGCATGTGCACAGCCGGTTCTCGGGCTCCTGGTAGGGAAGCCGGTCTCTGCTTTCTGTGCATCTACCTGCCTGGCCTCCCAGCTGATCAAGGTAGCTCCTGGAAGGCCACGCCACTGCATCACCACTGCTGCCACGCTACCATCACTATGGCCATAATTGTTGCTACACAGCGACAGCAGCGCGGTGGTGATGTGACAGTAGCCCCCTCCACCAGGCACAAACTACAAAACTGAACCGGTTCGTGGTTTGGTTTTCTGGTTGGTTCGTGGTGGTTCATGGTTCCTGGCCAAGCACAAACAATCACGAAATACCATTTTTCAGGTTTGTGTTCATCTCTAGTTTGGACATCTCACATTCCGATGGAGAACATCCACATCCCAGCTCTGGAGAACTCCATCCAAGACCTAAATTCATGTTCAGTGGGGTTGGAATAAATATATTGTTTAGCATTTCATATGGTAAATGATGGTTTACAAATGGTCACACAGCCTATGGCAGATGTAATTATATATACTGTTTGCAAACCCCTTGTAAAAGCACGAAAATTTCCTCCAAGTGCATATGGTGCCTACTCTTGTAGGAGAAGAAGCAGAGACAATAATTATTACCCTGGGGGGGGGAATGTGTAGTCTGCATAATTAACTTATAAACCACCCAGAGAGTGCTTGAAGCACTATGGGGAGGTATATAAGCATCACACTTTACTTTTGCTTTTACTCTTGCTGTTTCAGGGTCTTAGAAACAGGTGGTGGGACATAAATATTGCTCTTCTTCCTTGAATTGCACAGGCCCAAGCAGCATGGTTTTGATGATACATTAATTTTTGTAAAAAAAACAATTAAACATTTTTTCAATTAGTCAATAAACGTCCAGTAAATACTGTAAATATTCAATAAACAGTGTGCTGCTATTTGTCTCCAGGCAGTGGCATGAGAAAGGTGAATCTTGGACTTACTGAGGCTCTTGTTGGTGATGGAACGGCAGCCACCAGCGCAAGGATGGTTGCCGGTTGCCCCCCCCCCCCCGGCTGGGGGCTGTGCATGAGGCGGCCTGGAAAGAGCATGCTTGAAGGCTGATGGAGGTTGCGGGAAATCCCAGCATGCTGCTCCATTGGGTGGGAGAGGAAGAGAGATTTTGCCTCCATTTCACCCATCTAATAGAAGCTTTTCCAGTTCTTTTTGTTGTTGTTTAGTCATTAAATCATGTCCGACTCTTCATGACCCCATGGACCAGAGCACGCCAGGCCCTGCCTCCCGGAGTTGGGTCAAATTCATGTTGGTCGCTTCGCAGACACTGTCCAGCCATCTCGTCCTCTGTTGTCCCCTTCTCCTCTTGCCTTCACACTTTCCCAACATCAGGGTCTTTTCCAGGGAGTCTTTTCTTCTCATGAGATGGCCAAAGTACTGGAGCCTCAGCTTCAGAATCTGTCCTTCCAGTGAGCACTCAGGGTTGGTTTCCTTTAGAATTGATAGGTTTGTTCTCTTTGTAGTCCACAGGACTCTCAAGAGTCTCCTCCAGCACCACAATTCAAAAGCATCAATTATTCGGCAGTCAGCCTTCTTTATGGTCTAGCTTTCACTTCCATACATCGCTACTGGAAAAACCATAGCTATGACTTTGCAGACTTTTGTTGGCAAGGTGGTCTCTGCTTTTTAAGATGCCGTCTAGGTTTCTCATCACTTTCCTCCCAAGAAGCAGGAGTCTTTTAATTTCGTGGCTGCTGTCACCATCTGCAGTGATCAGACAGCCCTAGAAAATAAAATTTGTCACTGCCTCCATATCTACCCCTTCTATTGGGCAGGAGGTGATGGGACCAGTGGCCATGATCTTAGTTTTTTTATGTTGAGCTTCAGACCATTTTTAGCGCTCTCCTCTTTCACCCTCATGAAGAGGTTCTTTAATTCCTCCTCACTTTCTTTCCTGATCTTAGTTTTTTTAT